ACACAGACATTACTCATTTCATCAAACAGGGTAATAAAGTTTATCAAACTAAAATTAAAACAGACGGAACAGAATCGTACTTTTTTTTTTCTAAATAACTAAACATATCCCAAAAAAAATTCTCCAACCTAGCTGCTAAATTGTAAATATTCTGCTCTGAATACATCCTCTTCATGCAATTTATGGCAATCATAGGGAACAATGTTTTAAAATCAAAGATTTCATGAGTACAAAAGGTATAGGTAAGGCATCATGTAGGTGACACCAAAATTATCCCATATTTGCAAAACTGATATACAGAGTCTATGCTCTAAACCTAATATACCAGTAGGTCAATTTGCATGAGTTGCTCTGGGTATCCGGTTCAACAGGACCATGCAAGTTTGAGACTGTCACCTAGGAGCGAACAGATATTGTTGACGGCCTGTGTACCACAACAAGCATCAATCATCCTGCATCCCACTCTTGCCCTGTGGTCTTGGTGGCTTGCTCCAGACTGGTGAACATCCCGGCTAATTGCAGGTTTCATCCGCTCAGGAGAAAACCAGAGTGGGGTTAAACATGGAATTCTGGTTTCTTATTTTTGGGTCTGTCCATATAAGGACATCCTGGAAGCAATTATGAGCCTCAGGGAGAAAATATAGAAGCGGTTCTACTCTGCACCATACATACCTTGTTTTTAAGGATGAGTCATATTTCCGACCATACTCTACCCAGCCTGGTTGGATGTATTATTCCTAATGTAAATGTCTGACCTGTTAACTAGTGAGGTTGCTCCTCTTGAGATATAATTACTGAGACAGGTACTTGTAGCACTCTTTATGTATCTGTCTTGACATTTATCAGGTGAAAATACTCAAAGCTTCAGTTTGATAATTTACCCAAAACTGTATGTGCTGGACTGAGCTGCCTGGCCCTGTTTCTCTCACAGTGTGGGTGAGTTTGTTTTTTCAGCAGACTACAAACCTATGGTTTGGGAGGCTAAATTATATTTCCCTTTAGACATGAGAGGGGGCGGAGGAAATTTACGAGAGTGAATGTGTGTTTCTTTAGCCCTGCAATCATCATCATCATTATGCCAGTTTGAGTTTGTTTTCAGCTCACTTTCTGAGACAAATATACCTTAATGTGTCTGCAATACGGAGTAAGAGAGAGAGGTACCCGGAAGGAAGTGATGCAATCATCTTAATTGAGGCATTCATATATACAGCTGTGTTTGGAGTGTTGTAGCATTTCCATACGTCGTAGATTAAGCCACGGCTTAGGTGAAAAGCTCTAAGCATCCACTGGATTTACTTAGTGCCTTTATCTTTACTTAACCAGGACCCCTGCTGATATCTTCTACACAGACAGACTCTGAAGGAAAGAAAGGTAACTCACATTGTGATTTTATGTTTAGGTTGTTTTCAACCATTAATTCATATTATGTCTTTTTTTTCTGCATCTGTGTGAGAGTCTCATGTCAAAATGGGTTCACATTAATCTAGTTTAACCCTCTATATTTAAAAGTAAAGTTTCTGTGTGCAAAAATACCTATTTAAGAGAGGATTGTTAATTTTGTAATGTTCAGGCTTTCTACTAACTAAGGATTGGAACTTCACTTGATTACTTTGTTCAATGAACTACATTGAAAACACATTTGCTGGTTCTTTGTAAAAAAAAAAATTAAAAATTAAAAAAAAAAGCAGAATCAAACTAATTGCTATAACATTTTTTTTTCTCTATTACAGAATGAAGGTTATCATTATAACATTTTGCCTTTTCGGTGCAGCTTTCGCTAACCCAGTAAGTATGAAACTCATTAAAAAGTAAAAACTCAACATTTCTGATGTAATTCACAAACTTAATTATTTGTTTTGCTTTTTTTAAGCATCAAGAAATCTAAACAAGACTAAAAACCTACTATATTTTTTTCTATTTATTCACAGAGCGAAAAAGTTGTTTTTACTAGAAAATAATAGCACTTGTTTATTGACTTATTCCTTACTTTGAAAAGGAAAAAATATTATAACCAAGGATATTTCTTCAAAGTAACTTTTTCAATTACATATTTCAGCTGATTTCATATTATGAAATAGAAAATATGAGAAACAAACATTTACTTCAACAGCTTCTCAATTAAGAAATTTGTTTTAGTAATCAGAACAAAGCAACTTTATCATATGCAGTTTATTTCCCTGAAATCTGATATTTAAAGATATCTAGCTTAAGAAGCACATTTTTTACAGTGCAGTATTGACTAAAGTAGAGAAATACTATTTTAGGTTGTCTACTTACTGAAGCAACAGTTACCTTAAGCATGTCTGGACGTGTTCCACTTGTGCTCATGTATTTTTTTTTCTTACAGATTTTACACAACATTTTGGTATCAGCTGAGTCTGCATCAAACTCTGTAAGTATTATCAGATATATTATTTTCATCAGGCTCCACTCAACTTAATTCCATTGAGATTTTAAGCTCCCAAGATCGGTTTCACTGTTTCAATGCTCCTGGATGGGAATCTTGCTGCAGACAGGGTCATTAGGGAATATAGTTCTTGCTTCTTCTGACAAAAAAGTAATACAACTGAAGGTTGCACAGCATCTACTATTATCTATAGCTTATTAATATGTTATATTGAGATGTACTGTAAGAATACCAGCTGTTATTTGCTGAATCAGGATTAATAAATGCTCCTATTTACACATTTTATACTACAAACTGTCTCTCACTGATATTTAATGGTGTTATGAAAGAAAGTGACCAAACAATAATGTATTTCAGTAAAAGAGAATATGAATTCCTGTGACTGAGTCAGGAGAAAGCCGAACAATGTGTGTGGTACAGACCTCAAGACAATCCTCACTGCAGACAACCTATTGTTTACAAGCATGCATATCTGTCTGCAGACATTTATGCACCAATAGCTCTGCCTGAGTCTGAGCTTGTCATGGAGGAGGCTTTTAATCACTGTTTTGCTTGTTGATATCACTGTCATGATGTATAATTAAATCTAATTAAAACTACTTGGGTGTGTGCTCATTTATTTTATTTTTTTCCTTCTTTCCAGACAGAAAGTTTGCCAGTTTTAGAATCTTCTGAAAATAACACATCAGAACTTCAGGTAAAATATACACTCTCTCCTTTTTAGACATAAATATTTCTCACATTTCTCACATTTTAGTTAAATGTTTGTGTTTGCTTTTGCTCCTTTGGATGCAGAGTTCGGAGGAAAATACCTCGAATCAGGTGAGTCTTTTTCAATCCAAGATATGTTTCATCCATGGAATAAAAATTTTAATTTTATTGTTTTTAACAATATAACTGTTTTCTGAAATTTGCAATTAATATATTTTTTATAAAACAGAGTTCAGAGTCTGAATCAATGGAATCCACTTCAGAGGACAAGGTGTGTGAGTTAATCATTCATATTTACTGTCCGCTGCTCATCATACAGTCCTCAGTTTCATGAATCACTGATGTTAGTTATTTAAAGATCGAGAATTCAAGAGCAGATTTCGAATGTTAGTAAATGACTAAATTCAACTAGAGCAAAACAAAACTAAGAGTGAAACTATTTAAAGTGCCCAGCATAAATATTCAAATCACTTGAACATTAGGCTTTGTTTTCCAGGGGTATTTGATGTGTCAATGCAAATAAATACTTAATATATGTATTGCTTGTTTTAATACATGTAGAATCTAAGTATTTTTTAAAGTTGCATTTGGCTGAGTTCATCCCCAGAAAAACATCTCCATAGCATGATGCTGCCATCATCATGTATCAGCATTAAAATGCAGGTTTAAGGGTGAACTGTAATTTTTTGCCACCCTACTTTAAACTTGTCATTAACTTTATTCTGTGCATATTTGGTGTCCATTGTGTTTCATGATGTAGTTATCTAACTTTAGAGTTTGTTATATAATAAAATAAAAATTAAAATATATTATTAGAGATCCTGTCCATAGAAAATCAGCGTTTACATAAAATACAAATACATAATTTGTTTTGCTGTAATATAAAACGTTTTGAAGGTCTTAAATTGTGCTTGTCTTCAAAAAACAGACCTCAGAGGAGAGTAACAGTCAGTCAGATGAAAATGATAAAGTAAGAGGAAACACTTAAAAAAAACATTTTCTAAATTTTTTCCAAAGCTGTCATTTTTACTCTTGTAAAATGTATTTTCTACTCAGATGGACTCCCTGTTTGAAACCAAAGATAACAGCATGGGCAGTGAGGAGAATGTGCGAAAGGTTAGAAAAATCCTTCTTATACTTCAATTTTAAACAAAGCCATAATCCTGCTAACCATGCTCTCCTTATACCCTCCAGCAAAATTGGGTGAGAGTCTTTGCGAGTGTCGTTAAAGGAGAGAGTGCAGAGGACAAAGGTCACCCTGAACACCAGAGCAATGAGCTGAGTGATAAACAGCAGATTCACACCAAGACAGTTCAGATCAGCACTGTCAGTGAAAAGTCTGGCGACACCACCAGCGACAGCGCGGACACCAGTGATGTTAAGGCTGCCGCAAGTGACAGCAGTGACAGCACCAGCAGTGAAAGCCAGGAGAGCCAGGAGACAAGTGACACCAAAAGCAGCAGTGCTGCCAGCGAGAGCACGGAAGATAGTGATGCCAGTGACAGCGCCGAAATGAACCAAGTCAGAGAAAAGGACTGTGTGAATAGTACACAGAGCTGTGAAAGTGAGGAGTATTTTCTGCAGAGTATAGGAGATGATGCCCATTCTACAGGGGAGCATCTGCTGGTGCCAGACGAGGAGGATAGAGAGCTGCGGCTCAGAAGGCGATGAAATGTTACTGTTATGTTGTCAATCTGAATTTGATTTAATAACAAGCTTAAAGACTAACGAATGTTCACCTTGGAACATTGATACTGCCATAATACTACATGCCGCTGATTCACTCCTATTTGTGGAATTTACTGTGACAATATAAACTACACTTGTACTTTGCTTTAATAGTATGTTGAATTTAAATGAATATAACCATTGTATGTAGATACACAAAATATCAGAACACATGATCTCCTATTTATAATATTAAAAATACCCTTTGTTGTCCCATGGTGGGGAAATTATGCATCCATGTTCTTGCCTAATAAATTCTTAAGAAAATGACCTTTCTAAAATAATTTATTTGCAAAGGCAAGCTGAAGAAGTTGACCCATTACTTGCTATTGGCATTGATGATGCTTTTATATTGTATCATAATCATAGTTTCTTGCAAAAGTATTTAAACTCCTTGAAGAGGAATTCAGTATGTGACAGATGCACATAGCAGCTTTCAATTAAGATTTGGTAAAAGCATGACAGCAAAAGCATGACAGAGCTCATTTAACATTTCCTTCACCTGGGCTGTGGATTTGCAGATACCATGCTTGTTTTACCCCAGTTTAGGAAGCCATCTTTAATAGTAGGTGTACAGTAGTATTTTCCATTAATATAGACGAATTGACATAATGCCTGTGATTTCTGTGGTCTTACGGTGATTTTGTGTCCCGGCTTTCATTGAGTGTCATGGCCGGTTAGCTCAGTTGGTTAGAGCGTGGTGCTAATAACGCCAAGGTCGCGGGTTCGATCCCCGTACGGGCCAAAACTTTTCGTTTCTTGTTAATTTTGAAAACTTTTTTTTGCCATCTTGATATTATTAATGTCATGAACATACTTCCAAAATTTACTTATCAATTTAATGTCATGAAGTGTACGACTTTTTACTTGAACATTGCGTTTTAAACATGTTACCACCAGATGGCGACAAAGCTAATATCAGAACTGCATCTCTTTCTTCCAAATAACAGCTAGGTACTATTAGAATAAAATATTTCATGAACTATTTATGTACAGAAAAGATTGCATTGTTATGACTTCTTGTAATAATAATTCAAACTGATCAGTAGATCATCCCCTTTACCAAGGTTTTGTTTACTCTCCCTTAAACAGAAATGAATCCCTAAACCATTCCAAACACAATTAAGTTCACACAGTATTTATGGTTTAAACAAAAAGAGCAAAGTTCAAGTGTGTGATAATTGCTTTTTAAAGAAATATCAAAAATATTCTCTATAAAATGAAAAAGACTACATATTTTTATTGTTATAAATTTTTTCAACAAATGAAGCAAAATTACACTGAATTTGAAAATACTTACTTTGTGAATTCTGGATTTAATAGTTTTAGCAACGTTTGTCTGCTAAATTTTATAATCAGGTTTTTAAATGGAAGCATAATTTCATTTATTTTTTCACTGTAAAAAAAAACAAGTGGGAGGTTTATATTTCTACAGCATTCAAAATGATGACATCTGTCATCAGGGTGACAGGATTTACAGTTTGCATCAGCATAATGCAGTCTTAATTTCGCATAAGCATTGATTAAAAAAAATATTCCGGGAGAAGGAGAAAAAAAGAGGTTTAATTTCCAGAAAACCTTTATTGCATCTGAGAACTAAACTTGCTGAAAATGTACAAACAAACAAAAAATATTTAGCATTTCAACATTTATCTGACAAAAAGAGTGAACGAAAATAGTGAGATTGCCCTTTTTTTAAAACAAACAACTGACAACTCTGCAACTTGTATTGCAATACAATAATTGCAACAGTTTTTTATATATATAACAGGCAACAAACCCTGTAAACATGTTTTACTTTTATGTTTGAGGTCACATTACTGTCTGGGAAAGTGGGATTTTAAGTGTTCCTTCAGGGAAGGTATTGTGGGCAACTCCTTGCGACACACATGGCAGCATAGAGATAGTTTCAGCAACTCACTGGTGCCATCTTTAACCGACACTTTTCCACTTGTTTCAAGCATCTGAATCACATCTGTGGGGGAAAAAAAAAAGATTTATGCATTCTTCCAAATACCATAAGCTGGGCTATTATATACAGTAAAATACGTTAAAAATATTAACAAAAACGAATGTGTCCCCACCATGGGAATCAATAAAGTACTCTGTTGTAAAGGAGTTCCAGTGCTTCTTGTTCTTTAAACAAGGAGAGTCAAAGTCCTGGCTGATCACATGGAGGTGAATTTGACTGTAAGAGACGGTAAACAAGTATTTATTTTAGGGATGTGCGGATACAACCTTCTTGTTTCAGACATGTAACCATAATGCACCTTTGATTATTGACAGATATTAATATTGAACTGATACAATAGCAGCTTGAATGCTAGAAACTTTTATTACTTATTTTGTAAATGGGGAGGTTAAAAAAGGGTTGAACAATGACATAGATCAAAGAACAATAGTCAGCAACAAAAGGCATGAGAATAACTGACGCATTTGCTAATAATGAGTGATTTGTATTACATTTAAATAGAATCAAAAATGCAGGCCGATACAACATCAGTCATTTGGTTGATATCGGATCGATATTATTATAAGATCAGGGCCTCCCTAATGTCTTTATCTTATCTGCACAACCATTACAAAGTAACATGTCTGATGTTTTAAACTGTAATTAAAAATGTAAAGGTTCAGCATAGAACACTAAATGTTTCTATAGGAGAGTAATGACATAGGACAGTAGGCTTGTTATACATCTTTAAATTGACAAAATAAAGCTGGTTCTAAGGTTACACAAATATTTCTCCTATTGTAAACACAGATGACCGATACATCAGCCTACTGACATCTTATTTTCTTGGCTCTGCATCAGCCAATACATATATGTTTTTGCAGATCTATTAGTGCGTTTAGCAGCTTGATGGGAGTGCTGGCCTTGTGGTTAGAGCAGTGCGCTTGTGCTCTGAGCAGGTTTCAAGTACCTGGTTCCATCCCCACAGCTGCACTCTGGGTTCCTGAGCAAGCACTGCTCCCCGGGTGCTGCACAGTGGCAGCACACTGCTCCCCAAGAGGATGGGTTAAACGCAGAGAGTTAATGTCTCCATTGCGAGATCAATAAAGTTCAATTTTTCTGTTTTCTTTTTTTATTTGACACCAAAAAAAACTCATGCATTGCTGGTTCATCCATTTACTATTAAATGTTAGTTTTGATTTGTCTTTTTTTTTTTTTTTGTTAAATTGACATTTGTGTAACATTTTTTACCACTGTGATATTCTTACCATGTAAATGGAGGAAGAAAGTGACAATGTCAGTTTCTAGATTGGAGGTGGTTAAAGCACAAGCTGCAAGGTAACGACACTACACGAGGAAGGACCTCACGGATGCGTCAAGCATAAACCAAGCCTTAGACTCATGTCAAAATAATTTGTATCAGAGCCACAGAGGTTCATCTGATGCCTGAATTCCATTGGTAGACGTCTAACAGAACTTGACCAGAGGATCAGTGGAAAGCAGCTAAAATCCCCCAAACCCCTCAACTTAACTAAAATCTATTAAATCTAACCCAGATCTGCTGCAGGGACTTGATACACCTACTTAATTGGTGGTGTCCCGATCCAACCTTAATATATTTATCAGTCTGATTTCAGACGAAAAACTAATATCAGAATATATCAACCTGCATCTAAAGTCTCTGATATTACCATGCCGATATAAAAACTCTGCATCCACTTATAGTTTCTGTAACCTATTGGTTAATATTGCATGGCTCAGTTTTTTCCACATTTTTTTGTTGACTACTGTTCTGTTTTCTTCCAATCTATGGGGAAGCAGACCCATTTTAAATGCATTAAAAAGAGAGGGAGAAACTTAGTGTCTTACTCGCGTTTTTTGTAATGTGACTAAAATCAATTGCCTCTGCAAATCATGTTTTGATATTATGCGATTATATTGCAAATGCAATCAATTGCCCAGCCCACGTACAATTTGTGCTGATATCTTATCAGGCCAATATCAGTATAGGCCAGTTCTCAAAGCTGCAAAATCGGTATCATATTGGAAAATAAAAAGTTGTATCATGACACCCCTACTACTTAACCATTGTTAGTATAACTATCAAAACCAACCGAAGGCAAATCTCCTTCCAGTGGCAACAGCCTTACCTCATACTTGGGATAGCGTGATAACCTGTGCGGAACTGCAACGAGCTGGAATCCGGACATTGCTGGATCATGCGGTCAGCCACCTGCTGCATGTGCTTCAGAAGAACACAGTGCTCTCCACTTAAAGCCTTTAGGCTGGGAATTGACTGCCATGGAAGGACTAACCAATGGTAGCGAGCTTTGGGATATTTGTCTTTAATTACCACAACTTTATCATCCTTGTAAACCTGCAAAACGGAAATCAGGATAGGGTTACAAATAAGGCTATAAAGGAATCATGACAGCAGTTATAGATCATTTTCGTAAAGGAAGTGACCTGCATCTGAGGATCTTGCATTGAAGTCTTTAGACCTTGGCTCCAATGTCCCACACTCTCCTAAAACAGATGAGGAATCACAACTTTAAACCAAAGGAATTCAAAATATTAAAGCAACATTTTACAAGGAGGTTATTTTTCTCCCCTTACATTTCTAGTGTTGTGTTCTCCATGACTGGCTGATGGTGAGTCATTTCTGTTCTGTTTTGCAGCTTTCGGAGTTTGAGCACTTCCCTGGCTCTCGCCGTCTTCCGACGTTTGCACTATTGGTCTTTTGGTGCTGCTCTGGTGGCCAGTGAGATCCTCTTTGAACTGGATGGTGTATGGATAAAGCTGATTGACAATATGAAGCGTCTCTCCAGGCTTTATTCTGACCTCATTGCCTTTTCCTACCACCACAGAGTTTACAGAGGTGGGGTTTAAGCCCAGCTTTATTAATTGAGAAAAAAAGGTTAAAAGAAAATGTTAGAGGGTGTTTTGAGTCTGGTTGAACAACACTAATACCGTATTTTCACGACTATAAGGCGCACATAAACGTCTTTTTTT